GTTTACTAGCTATAAGTTTGATGGCTGTCTAAGATGATATGACTGATTGACACATCTTGACGTTATTAACTGCCTGTTAACAACATGTATTATGTAAGTGCATTTAATAGTGGTGCATGTGTGACGTATTCCCCTCTTATGCCCATCTTCTCTTGGCAGGCTCAGAGGGACTACTTCGGAGCTCACACATACGAGCGTCTGACCGCACCGGGGAAATACGAGCACACCAACTGGACCGGACATGGTGGCAACGTTTCCTCCTCCACCTATCAGGCATAGGCGTCGTCTGCGCGACGGGTCGGCATGTTCATGAGTGAGAGCAGGGGATTGGGCGAGAGGAGGCAGCGTGATGTGTTGTAGCTCCCATCTCGACGCTCGGTTTCAGACACACTCCAGCACTGAAGAAGTTGTGTTAGCCTCGTGTCTCGTGCTCTCGCGGAGATTTCGAGTTTTATCCGTGAGAAACAATGTTTGTGTGGGAAAATTCGTGGCAATGTTCTTAAGTAGATGGCAGCATAATTAGTGGAAGTACGGCATGCAGTACGCAATTATTCTAGAAGTGGGTATAGTAAGGTTATGATGCCTGGTGCATACAAACTCATGGTGATCTCTGTAGAAGTTTCTGCGTGTGTTATGTAGAGTCTATGTATCTGTGTGTGTCTATATATGTATATACAGGAGCCCCTGATAATGTTGTTAATGATGTGCTCCTGTGTACACAATATATAACTATTTAGGTATTATCTCGGGAAAATATTGTGTTTAGATACAGATTTATATCATGTAGGGTCATTCAACAAGAGTATATTTTGTATATTTTGGTTCAGCTTGCTACCTAGAAGAGCTTTTTGTGGCTACATGAGCACTCGAACACTCACTACAGCATAGTTGTGACGGATCATTACACTTATGTCCTACAGGTGGCACCACCAGTACGTTGATATGGTAATCGGGACCAGGTTAGACATTTGTGGGAACTTTTGGGTAGTGTGTTGAGGAGTGTAGCAAACGTTAGCCACCTAGTGATGTCGTTTAGATGAGGGGTGGATTGTGATGTGCGTTGATGTCATTGATGCACGGATGTAATTAGTTGGATGCCAGCTCTGAATGTTGCTGTTACCGGTGAAAGATCTAGCAATAAACATGAAACTCTACTCTCTCTAGTAATGCTCATCTTTACACGTGTATCTCATTGCACCAACGGCTAAAGTAGCAAACATCAGGAAGCAAATGTCAAAAGATGAAAAGTAGAGTAACACCCGTAATTGAATATGTCATAAGAGTATATTTTCAAAAATCGATGTTTCTTACATAACCGATGATGGGTTTTGAAAACTCACTTGGGTATGATATGGTACGTACAATATAAATAGCAACATAGTACAAATGATGGTATTAAGCACATGGCAATCGTGTGCTAGGGCTACAGTATGCTAACAACAGACATCTTTTCCAATCTCCTATCATATTATATCTGTATTAAACTACACATAAAACGGGTAAAATCTTCTACGAAATTTATAGTCACTGTGTCAGTGTGTTAAATGCATGACTACAAAAATATAGACTCCTGTTATTGGGTTCTCTCACAATATCAGCCTCCCCCCCCCCATTCTAAGAGAATCACGTTCCTGGCGCAATATATCGCAGGACAATATAAGCATTACACCGGCAATATAACAATATGGCTGTCATACTGACCCCGACCCTTATCTTCAACACACACACGCATCCACGTACACACACACACGCACGCACGTACACACACACATATGCACGTACACACACACACGCACGCATGCACATGCATGCGCACACACACACACGCATGCACACAGGCACGCATGCACACACGCAAACACACTGTAATGTAACACTTTTTCGTAACAATATCCTCATGAACTATACCTACACTCACTGTACAAGGCGAACGATTTCTTGGAGAAGATAGATATTGCCCTCGCAAAACTACAACCTGTGTTTAGCGTCGACAGAAATATAATCGCTATTGCTCTACTGTTCATCACGCAATCCTGCACCGCGCTACACGATATTGCCTGTTTTTTTATGAATGCTAGTCAGCCTAGTGACAGATTTCTGATGTCAGTGATGCTTTTCGAATGATGTTTACGGTGATGCTGAGCGTGTAGTTTAAATGTATCTGCACAAGGAGGGCTTTCTGTCGTGTGAAGCTCTACTGACTCTGAGCGGATGCTGAGAGAGAAAGGGGTGCGAATCTAAATGACAAGTTGTGTAAAGATTTTACTCTATTCTAGTCTGAGGTTCGAATTACCTACTTCTTGGAGAAGATAGTTATTGCCCTCGCAAAACTACAACCTGTGTTTAGCGTCGACAGAAATATAATCGCTATTGCTCTACTGTCGATTACGCAATCCTGCACCGCGCTACACGATATTGCATGTTTTTTTTATGAATGCTAGTGACAGATTGCTGATGTCAGTGATGCTTTTAGAATGATTTTTACGGTGATTCTGAGCGTGTAGTTTAAATGTATCTGCACAAGGAGGGCTTTCTGTCGTGTGAAGCTCTACTGACTCTGAGCGGAAGCTGAGAGAGAAAGGGGTGCGAATCTAAATGACAAGTTGTGTAAGGATTTTACTCTATTCTAGTCTGAGGTTCGAATTAGCTAGAATTGTGTCGTGGGGGACTTGTCATACCTTGACCTCCGTTATTGGTGGGCAGATCTTGACCGCTGATACTATTCTGGGGTTATGAGCTAGGTAAGATTGTGTTCCGAAGGAGAGCGGTATGAACCGGACCTGTACTATGCAGAGATGATGACGTGGCTAGAATGATTGAACCTACAATGTATATTGCGGACTTGTATTATTTTACAGTCTATTGCATGCTGAGGTCGCAACCCATGCACAGTTCAGAGTTGCCCTGTTAGAAGTGGGCTGTCACTGAGAGGTGTCGCTCTGACTGGGGCCATACTGACATCATCAGCTACGGTTAGAAGTAGGCTACGAGTGAGAGGTCAGGACCCGGGTCGCGTCGCAATGAGTTACGCGCGGCCCTCGTGCCACTACAGGCGCCAGTCTCGGACGACCCTGGTGACGACGCATCGTCCTCAAACATATCCTCCGGTATCGTCATTCGCCTCAGCGCCGCCTGGCGGTGGTTGGCGGCGCCGCGGTCCAGGTAGACACTGGGTAGCACGTCGGCAAACTGCGAGTTTCTTGGTCGGAGGTCGGTGTCGGAGTGGTGGTACGTCGGGCGGAAGAGCGTCGCCACGTGCAGGGCGCGGTTGATCGACTCCCGCCGCATGACTGGCCGCGACGACGCGAGAGCGCCATCTGCCGGCGCCTCCCGCCGCCCCGGGTACGCCGGCGGGGCTTTAGCGCCCCCTGGCGGTCTCGCGTGTTTCGGAGCGCCGTAGGGCGGCGGCGGGTAAGTTCGCTGGGCGTTGCGCGGCGTCAGTGGAGCGAAGAAGTCGTACGGGCGACCGCGGCGCGAGTTACGCAACACCAGCGCCTCCCGGTGGGCGTCGGCCGGACGCGACACCTGGATCGCGCGAGCAGCAAACACCTCCTCCACCGGTAGGGGGCGCGCGGGAGGGTACACCCGCAGCCGATACCCAGTGGACTCCCCCGCCTCCTTCTTCTCCTGTTTATCCTCCTCCTGCTGCTGTGCCGCGGCGGGAGGGGCTGGCGGCGGGGAGCGGATCTCACGCGGCTTTCGCTCAGCGGTTGCCTCGTGTCCGCTGTCCGGGTCATCTTCCGAGAAATACTCCGTCATGAGCGCCATCTTGACGGCCTGCTTAATCGACTCGCGTCTGTTCGATCGCTCGGGGTTCTTCACCTTCTTCACCGCAGTCTTCGTCTTCGCCGGAGAGCTGGCAGGGGTCGTAGCACCCGCTAGCCTACTGTAGAACTCGACGTTCTGAGCGACGGGCGATTTGTCGGCAGCTTTGATGACGTCCATCATCGGCGCCAGCGTCACTATCTCCGTGTCCGTGTCCGAGTCCGGCTCGGCGGCGGCAGAGGCGTCTGCTGTGAGACCCGCCATCTTGCCGTCGGCGATGTTCACCTTGTATACGTTCATGGCGCCGTAGTTCTGCACGGGAATGACGTACACTTGTTCGGCGGACTCGTCAGCGTCGCCGTCGCCGCTGGGCGTCGGCGGGGGAGGCGTGCCGTTGTCGCTGTCGCTGTCCGACTGATTCGGGAATAGTCGCACGACGTTGTCGCCATCTGGCGTCATCTGGTAGAGTTGAACCTACAACAAAGACGTTGCGGGTTTAGCGGCGGCTATGGAGACACACACACACACACACACACACACACACACACACACACACACACACACACACACACACACACACACAAACACCACACACACACACGACACACACACGCACACACACATTATATATTTATCTTTAATATATATTAATCAATTATAAATTATATATAAATATATAGTTAAAATTTCTATTCATATGGTGATGTTCTGCGTATTTCCCTTATCAACAAGACCATGTTAATCAGACGCGTCTCTACGAGACGACACCAAGTAAAGACCAACACCAATACAATAATAAGTCCTTTATGTATAAAGAAGGAGCTCTGATAATTTTCTATATTAACACACCCCGTGGCTGCGATGACGAGGAGGGAACACGTACCTGGCGGTGACCTTGCTTGTCCGGTCGGTCCAGCACGACAGCTATGTCCGCTGTCCTGTACAGAGACATGTTGCTGGCCGCTACCTCGGCCTTGCCTGTTTCGCCAGGGTCTGTCTCATACCCGCCATTCATGTGGTCCTCGTAACCGCTATCTTGCCCTGTCTGCCGGCTCTGTCAATGTATATGTGCATGCATTTAGGTGGGTACATACACGCGGCCGTTATTCGGACTGGGATTTTTTTGCAACCACCACCAACAACAAAATAACAAAATCGCAGCAGCAGCAACAACTACAGCGGTGGCAGCAGCAGCAGCAGTAACAACAACAACAACAACAACAACAACAACAACAACAACAACAACAACAACAGCAACACCAACAATAATAAAAACAATCGCAACGATAGCAACTTTCAACAACAACAGCAACAGCAACAACAACAGCAGCAGTAGCAGCAACAGCAACAACAACAACAACAACAACACCACCACTAACAATAATAACGATAACAACGACAACGACAACGACAACGACAACGACAACAACACCATCACCACCACCACCACCAACAACAACCACAACAACAACAACAACAACGACAACAACAAGCACAACCACAGCAGCAGCAGAAGCGGCAAGCATATCGCTGTTAACGCTGACCTCTACGTTGTCGAGGCTCGTTGACCTTCTCATCGCCGAACTCTTCGGATGCTGCGAGACGCCGCCACCTCCGCCACCGAGCAATTTCTGCTGGTCCTCTAGCGCCTTGAAGGCCTCGTTGATGTAGTCGTACAGTGCTGGCATCTGCTGGCGGATGATCGACTCCTAGAGGACATCAGTAGGTTCAGCAGGTGTTTATATATAATTACATTTAGCACTTGTTTGGCTGGAGTGTTTTGCGTATTTGTTGTCGCGTTCACTCCTTTTATCGCATTCCTTTTCGCTCCTCCACGCTGGCGCTCGCTCTTTCTCTCTCTCCCCTCTCTCTCTCTCTCGCTATTGTTGTCCTTCTTTCTCTACCTTGCTCCCTCTGTCTCTCACGCTTTCTCTCTCTCTAGCTCTCTCTCTCACACTCTCTCTCTCTATCTCTCACACACACACACGCGCGTGCGCGCGCGCTCTCTCTCTATATATCTATATTTTTCTCTCTCACTCACTCTCGCTCTCTTTCTCTCTCCAACCGAAATGCCTCTCTATCACTTGCATTATCCCTATCTTTCTTTCTCCTGCGCTCTCCTGCTCGCACAGCATATAGGGCTGCGCACCGACCGACATAACGCACAAACTTGCATTAATTAGGTTTTAATGCATTTACTCTTTTAAAGGCAAGCCCCGGAGACAACGCGTCTCTTTTCAGACACAGCACATAGAATATATATTATTAATTGAATTCGTTAGAATGATAGATGTGACTGATGAAGGCACATGCGTCACAAACGCTTTTTAAAAATAAAGACATTTAAATTTTATTAATAATTTACTTAGACAGACAGCCAGCGAGAAAGAGAGA